AAATTGAGTTGTTTGAAAATTGAGTTTTTTGAAAATTGAGAAGGAGTTGGCGTGGTTTGAACCCGCGCCTCTGCCTGGGCATCACCATTGCACTACCACTTGAGCTACCAACAACATAAGTGATGTTTTAATCACATTTTAATATATATGTTTTGAGTACACAAGTCCTTTTTTTTTTTGGATAAAATCATGGTTTATAACAGCGAGTTCAGAAGAAATTTTTTTTTGGCTAAAATCATGGATATGTGCATACCTGATGAGAAGTATCGACCATACATATGATACACTTATCTAGGTGTCAAGTGTCTGATATGGTTACTTGATTTGTTTTCAAGAATCCATGTAACACAGACATTTTTGATAAATTTTAAATTACAACTTCAGAAGTAAAATAACAAGTCCTTATAAAATTAAGATGTTCATCACACAAATAAAATTATATTTATTTAATGATTACAAATGTTGTTACTTTCTAATTTATACAAAATTAATCCAAAATTAATAAAGCTGTTTTTTGACCTAAAATTTAGCTGAATTACATTTAATGTGCACAAGAGCATGATCTTAATCATAATAAGTAATGTAAAAAGCATAGCATAAGAGGATGATGTTAATTTTTTCATAAGTTGTAAGATGTATTTCTTAAAAAGCTAAAAAATCTAAACCATTATCATTATTTTAACTCATATCTTAATTAAAAAATCAATAATGAATGTTGGATTATAATTGATGATTACTTAAATACAGTTTTTGCGTCACAAGTAATTGTAATTGAATGAGTATAATTTCATATAATTCTTTTACAAGTACAAGGAGATATAAGTATATTGTTGCTATTTTAATGTTTTTTGTCTTAATTGAAGCAAGTATATGGAGACTGTTCCAATTATTTTCTACTGGGGGGGAAACATAATTCGGGATCCTGATGAAGGCGTAGCATATGATGCTGAGCCGAAAGGGATATATGCGGTGCAAATTGGCACCACGCTTAGCAATTTGGAGGAGATATTTACGTCAAAGGTGGCAAGTTACGGGAAAAGTGTCCGATTGACCTTCAAATGTAGATATCCTTATCGCCAGTGGCAAGCACACAACAAATACAAGATATTACCGATCAATGACGATGAGGCGTTGAACACCGTATTAAGTATCGGTGCAAGTTTTCAAGCACCAAATTGTTTGGAAGTCTACATTGATAAAGAGATTGTACACAATATCCCGAACATGACACATATGGATTCTCGTCCGTTCACTACATTGCTGACGCATGGGATTGACACAACAGCGTTTCAGTCTCCTATGTATGAATCAGATCAATTTATCCATTGGGCTACAAACAACAGTCATTTCAGGGCCATGATGTAGAATCAAGTTCACGTGGTGGATATGCCTTGTCTTTCCCTTTGGCCTCAGCCTGATCAAAGGTCGGGATTGGTCCTGACATGTCGTGGCTATAGCCGGAAGCCACCTCTGGCTGGCTGAGTTCTATCACAATCCGCCCCAGCAGCGGGGGCTCCTGTGGTACAAAATTCCCGGCGTACGGTGCCGCTGGCGGTGAAGCTGACATTCCATAGGCGAGGTCTGCCACAGATCTTTGGAGATCGCCTATCATCCCCATCAATTCGAAGGTGGTGGGCTCACGAGCCTGGTATAACTGGGGAGCCCAAACCGGGTGCACAACGGGCGACCTGGGCGG